GGCAGACGCCGTCACCGCTGCCTTCGCTACCGTCCGAGTCGCCACCTTCCACGCCGTCGGTCTGGGAGGAGTCATTTGTTCACAGCCACCGATGGGCGCAGCCTCAACCGAGGCTGATGAAACGGTCGCCGGGACTGCAAGACGTCGCCAATCTGGTCAACAAGACGGACGCTGAGTTGGCCGATCTTCTGGTCGTCCCCACGAGGCCTCCGGCCTCGGCCGACGTCAGTGGAGGCGAGCTCGAACCCTCCATGACGCCGACAATTGAGGCTCTACGGCGTAACGACTTGGCTGAGGTTAGCCTTTCGCCCATCATCTTGCGTCGGATGACGGCTCTGTTGGCCTACCGGTCGGAGAAACGGAAAAAACGTCAGCGTCGTTGTCAACGTCAACGTCGACATCGACGTTGCGACACTCGAGGCCTCGACGTTGAGACGAACGCAGACGCGGACGACTCCGAGACCGACTCTGATGAGGAATTATTTGTCGACTACGGCAACTCGAGCTCGGCCAACAGCAGCAGCAGCAGTAGCAGCAACATCATCAACAACTCCGGTTCCACAAGCTCCATCGAGCCGGCCTACATCAGCTCCAATCCGCTTTTCTCTCAGATCCATCCCTCCGCTTCGGACAGCTGTTCGGCGTCGCCCCACACTTCGATCCGTTCCAGCCTCTCGGCCGCACCAATGCCGTCGTCATGGCAGACAGGCCTGACGAGCCGAACAATTGGACAGATCGACTCATGCCAGACCCTACAAGTGGTCGCCAGGCAACAGGCGTCAAGTCAGTCGAGCACGGCTGTTGTCTGGACGGACGAGTCGGCCCACCACGACAGGGTCGGAGAGGTGAGCCAGACCGCTGGGGAGGATGAGTTGGTCGACCAAAACGGACTTGGTGAATTGAGCTTCCTCGACAGTGAGGCCTTCTATGGCGAAGCCTGGTACCTGCCGGGCAAGGATAGACCGTGTACATGGATCGACTTAGCCACCAAAGCTGATATGGACGAGGTGACTCTCAGTTCGGGTGAGTTGGCTTTCTCATTTGGTACCGCCCGCCGCAACATCACCAACATACAGGTAAACCTATACCACCATAATCCGACATTGAGGATGATACGAGATTGGGTAATCCCAATAGATGACCTTTAATGACCTTGGACTGGCAGATAATGATATTGTGCTTACTTCCATTTCGAGTGAAAATGTCTGCTGACGAGATTCCAAAGTCGATTCCACCAGAAGACAACGGCGCATTCCTCTTGACCAGCTGTCGATTGGCTTTACTGGAGCAGTCATGCTGACGCTGTTTCTGAGGCAATCTCATTCGATTCCGGTGAAAAGGTGCTAAACTTTGACGAATATCATCAGAGAAAGGTATCATTGTCACAACAAATTCCAGCTATTGAGTAAGAAAAGTCACCAGCAAATCCCTAAAACGTCGTATATATACTCTATATCTGACCTCTTTTATAGAGTTTTCCTGACCTGAATTTGGTTGTGACGATGATATCTTGCTCTAATGATGGACGAAAGCTTAGCACCATTTCACCGAAAGCGAAGGAGATTACCTCGGAAATAGCGTCAGCATACAACTTCTAGTAAAGCCAATCGACAGCTGGTCGAGAGAAATCCGCTGTCGTCCTCTGGTGGAATCGACCTTCGAATCTATTCACCAAACACTTTCACTCGAAATGGAAGTAAGCACAACAATTATGAAACAATAGATTTCTCGAAACCTAACTTTTCTTCGCAGGAATATGTATGCTTGAGTGAAAAATTGAGGAGGGAGAGTCTGAAGTCTGTCAGGCCATTGATGGTTGTAACCTCACTCAGACTCGTCTAACATGTAAAGTACGCTGATTAACTAAATCGGATCCCGGTCATGCCGTTCGTTGGATCGTCAAACTTGAATAGCTCTTAGATTGACGGTTTATTGCCGATTGTGTCCTAATCTCACACGAATACAAACTTACATCCCATTATCTCAACCAGAGTTTCTGAGAGAACTTATTTAATCTCGGTTAGACTTTTCTTTACATCACTAAGCCTCGATGGCCCGAGTCGGACATTAGGTTTATGTAATTACTTTTGATTTAGAACCGGTATTACGTACAGGTTTTATCATACGTATACACATGACTGATATGAAAGGGAACTAACCAAATAATTATGTATCTATCTATATATATAAATATATTTTTCTTCTTTAGTTATTAGTGTATATAAAAATTAATTTTATACTTTTAACGGAATGACAATGTCCATTAAATGAGGGTCATCATCAGAACAGCTGGAATCAACCATCGTTTTCTGGTGAGATCGGCACACGAATCTCTTCAGCATTACATACTCTGATATTAGCACACATGCATACATACACGTGATTAGTTACACTAATTAATATAAAAGAAAACTAACCAAATCATTATATATATAGACTTGGGATTAACTTGAAAATTTCACATAGATG